GGGTCCACAAGCTTAAAACTAACCTGGGCAACACAATAAGACTCCATCTCAAAAAATAATTAACTACTGGCGCCTGCCTCACAAGTGCAAGGGCCTGAGTTCGATCCCCAGTACAAAAAGAAAGAAAAAAAAAACTAATTTTAAAAGGCAAATATTCATTTTTAAAAGCCAGGTATGGTGTCACATGATCACATGCCTCTAAAAGCAGCACTCTGGGGGGAGCCTAGCCTAGACAATTTAGCAACTTGGCAAGACTGGGGATATAGCTCAGTGTAAATGCCCTTGGTTCAGCTGTCAGCATGCATAAGCATTTTATAAACAGTGCTATAGAAATTTGAATCACTATTCCTATTTTGCTTGTGGATTTATTTGAAATTGAAAATGTTCATTCAAAGAGCTGGTGAGCCAATATTAAAACTCACTTCTTCAGGCTAGGGGTATAAACTCAGTATTAGAACACTCACCTAGCTTTCCTAAGGCCTTGGATTTAATCTTTAGTACCACAGGAAAAAAAAAGAAAAAAAAACAGCCATTTTGCTCAAATATTTACCAAATTTGGGGTTTTTTTGTTTTGTTTGCTGCTTGTTTTTGGTTTTTTGAGACAATGTCTCATGTAACCGATGATGGCCTCCAACTCACAATCCTGCCTTGGCCTCCTGAGTTCAGCGATTATAGGAACACATCACCATGCTTGACTGCCTCACATAACTGAAAAGGTACATCTCGGGCCAGGGATTTAGCTCAGTGGTGCCGTGCCTGCAAGCAAGGCAAACCGTGGTACCGCAAATAAAAAGAAAAAAAAAAAAGGGTACATCTCCTTAAATTAGCTAAAAATCAAGCAGAGCAGCACTACCCTAACAGAAAGGGACAGTGGGCTAGGACAAAAATGAAGAATTATGCATACTCAAGTGAATGGGACATGGATATTTTACTTCATTATTTGGACTTTTTAAAAAGCAAAATCAAAGTTCAAAGTTTTCCAATAGGGATCAAGGAGAAATGTTATGAATATCCAAGGTGTAATCAAAATTAAACACAGTGTATAATCAGTTCAGGAAGTCCAATAATCTTCAGTATTTTTCAGGTATTTATTGATCCAATGGCATCCCAAGGATGAAAGAAATTTAATTGTCATATTGCAGTTACTTAAAACCACAGGAAGAATGTGAATGTATTAAGATGTACCATTTTAATGAAGATATTTCACCAAATATGAAGGCTCTAACTTATCATTCACACTATTTGAGGTATAAGGTGTGCCACTGACATGGTCTCTTCTATGCTGAGTAAGACATCTAGCACTTTATCCTTATGGTACACAGATATGAGTAAAGAAATATTTCTGATAGCCAGGACTACTGGCACGTGTCTATAAATCCCTTGGGAGACTGAGGCAGGAAGACCACAAGCTCAAGACCTCCTGGACAACTTAGCAAGACCTTGTCTCATTTAAAAAAAAAAAAAAAAAATGCCGGAGATACAGCCCTGAGTTCAATCCTTAGTACACACCAGAAAGTTAACTAATTAATTAATGAAAGAAAGAAACATTTCTGAAGCTGGACACATTGGCATGTATGTGCCTGTGATCTTAGCACTTGGGAAGCTGAGGCAGAAGGATCACCAAGAGTTCAAGGCCACGCTGGGTTACATATTAAGTTCAAGGCCAGCCTGAACTATATAGTGAGACTTTCTCAAACAAACAAAAACCCAACAGCTGAGGATTTAGCTCAGTGATGCCATTCCTGCCTTGCAAGCACAATGTCCTGAGTTTGATTCAGGGTACCAAGAAAAAAAGGAGAAAAAAAAAAAAACCCAACAAAAATAAAAGGGTTAGGGATATACATCAGTGTGAAAGCCCTGGGTTCTATTTCTGGTGCTGCAATAATTAAGTAAGTAAGATGCAAACTTAAGATGATTTATTGAGAACATTTTCTTGCAGGGACTATGTGGTATCTCAGGGGTGACAACTGAGAGATGACATGAACAAAGAGAGGTAGCATGTCACATGGTTATAAAAATAGAGCAACGATTCCACAGAGCAAAGGGAGCAAGTGCATAAATCCCGCAGTGGGTTAATGTCTGTAGCATTCTCCAAACATTCACTAACTAGACCTCTCCCTGCATGTTTTGCTGCCACGCCACCATTCCCACAAAATTTCCTGACTTCCAGGTTCACAACTCTCACCCACACCTAAATCCTGAATCACACTGTGCACAGTATTCTCTTCTTTCTCCAATCTGTGACCAACTCATATTAGTGAGGTAGTAACACGCCATCACCTTCAAAATCATACATCTTCCTCTTTCTCTTCATCCCCACTAACACTGTACCAAGCCAGAATTATGGAAATTAGACAAGGATTGGAATGATCCTTAGATGTTATTAATATAATTCCATTTTACAGAGGCCAGGCGTGGTGGTGCACGCCTTTCATCCCAGCACTCGGGAGGCTGAGGCAGGAGGATCACTATGAGTTTGAGACCAGCCTGGACTACATAGTGAGCTCCAGGTCAGTCTCAACTACATAGTGAGACCCTGTCTCAAAAAAAAAAAAAAGGGCTGGGGATTTGGCTCAGTGGTTCCAGTGCCTGCCCCGCAAGCACAAGGACCCAAGTTCGATCCCCAGTACCAAAAAAAAAAAAATCTTACCAAAGCCCACATTATCAAGACTCCCAGGTATCAGGCCAAAGATCCAGTACACCATACTTGAATGTGCTGTGCGCTCCCTCCCAAGTCCAACTCATCAGGTATACTGCTCACCATGAATGCTGTTTACACACTGCCTTCATCATGTTACTTATCTTTCTCCTGAAGTCTCCTTTCATTGTCCTATATGTACAACACCACCACTTCACCTAAATCTTCATGCTCCTTTCTTTGAGGTGCCTTTTCTTCTTTCTTATCTAGTCAAGCTTGACCTATTTTTCCTAGTCCTTTTTTAAGAGTTTTCAGTAACTATGTCAGCCTTTACTGATTTCTTCCTTCTCAGGAATTCTGTAATGTTTATCATATAATCTAGCACTTGCATATAATCTTTCTTTTCCCAATCTTGTCCATCTTGTAAAGCATCGTAAGTATTGTATCTCTGTCCAAACACTTACTGGCTCTGTTTCATATTTAGCCAAACCAAAACTCCTTAAATACAGAGACCTCTTGTCTATGCAATAGGATTTGTGGATAATATCAGCTACCATATTTTTAACCCTTATTACATGTCAATATTGTATTTAAAACATCACAATAATGTTCAGTTGATATAATTCTTCCTATATTACAGAAGAAACAAAGGCAGGAAGAGGTTATGCTGAATGTACATATTTTTGGAAAAGACAGTGTCGGGATTTGAGCTAAACAATGTCCCAAAGCTGACACAAAGTAGGCTGCAAACAAATGTTTGAGTTATCCTACCATTTCAATGTGTGCAGATGGTCTTTTCATCACAAATGATCTATTGAGGGTAGAAACCATGCTAGGAGGGTGGTGGCTGGGTTGGAGGAGAACTGCCCTTCCCAGTTGAGTACCCATCAGATACTAGGTTCAGTCATAAATATTTCATTTCCAACATTTCATTTACTGACACTCCGAAATGTAAATTCTTTTCAACAAATAGCTTAATTCTTAAATCAGATTCACCCAAAATGTCACTCATTCTCAATCAATCACAAACAACGAATACAACACCCCTTCTGTGCCTCTCAGCTCAAAGAAAAAGACAAAATCCCCTCAACTCAGATCAGCTAGCGTGTTGGTTACTTCTCCCTCGTTGCTGAGACAAATACCTGGCACCAGAACTTAAAGGGGGGTTTATTTAGCTCACAGTTTGTAAAGGTTTCAGTCCATAATGGGCTGGCTCCAAGGCAGGGATGGTAAACAGGCACGTAGAGGAGAAACAACATGGCGCGCACAAGACAGCAAAGGTAATACGGGACCTTACCAGTGTCTTTCTGTTCCTTTTATCTCATTCAGACTACCGGGGGATTAGGGCGGTGCCAAACCAATCACTCACATGTAGTGGTTTAGTAATCACTCTCCCTTAACCCTAGAATCACACATTCTCGATTTAAATACCTTCAAAAAAGGGCTGCATGAGACCTTAGAGGGACTGCTAGACACAAGCCACAACAGCTAGGAAGGTTAAATACCTCAGCTTTAGCAAGCATTTACCACACGCTTAACCTTCTTCAGGGTAGGCCGTCCTGCATGGCTGTAACACTTATGATCTCATTTATTAATGAGGAAGGTGGCATTTTCTCCACTTTACAGACAAAATATGGTCCAAATAAAGGACACTGTTAATCTGAAGCCACGTGGCCAACGGCAGATTCTAGACTACAATTCAGGTCTCCTAACTGCTCTATTCCACTGCCCCAGCAGACACATATTAGTGTGTCATCCAATTTATCCTGATCTCACTGGGTTAAAGTTAGAATTTATAGCAAAAGTCTGCAGTGATTTCCATTTTTAAAGGTATTCACTGGAGCCAGGCACGGTGGCATTTGCCTGCAATCCCAGCATCAAGAGGCTGAAGCAGAAGGATCGTCCCAATTTTGAGGCCACCCTGGACTATACAGTGAGTTCAAGACCAGCATGAATTACGTAGCAAGACCCTGTCTTAAAATAAAACAACAAAAAAAGACATTTATTGGATACCTATTTATCAACCATGTAGATTCAAACACCATCTCCTCACCTCCACTTCGCTATGTGACATGGAGAAAATCATTTCACACCTCTAGGACCCCGCAAATGGGATAACAGTGTCTGCCAAGCAGTGATATGGTGAAAAGTTAGTGAGATGGTCAAAGGAAAACACTAGGCACTGCGCCTAGCATATAGTGGACGTCTGACATTTAACAGATCTCCTAATCTAACGCCTGCCCCACCCCAAGCCCTGGGGTTCACACACTACCATCACGCGACAGGGCATCCACTCCTCCCTCCAGAAGACTGCATGTGGCCTCCAGGGTTCCTAGGCCTGGGGCCGACCACACTACCTTACCTGCATGGAGTCGGCGCTGACAATCTCGCCACCCAGCCGCTGGCCTAGCTGCAACGCCAGGGTAGACTTGCCAGTGCCGGTGGCCCCGAGAATCACTACAAGAGGCAGTGTCCGTTTCAAGCCCCGAAGCCCAGGCCTCCTAGGAATCGCTCGCGCAGCCGCCGCAGCCGCCATCTTGGAGATATTCGCGCATGCGCGGGGGCAGCTGTCCCCATGGCAACAGTCGGTGCGCCGGCGCAGATCTAGCTGTCTGAAGGGAGGGTGCAGAGGGAGGAGCGAGATACGGGACAAAGGTTCCAAGTTTAGCCAGCTCCCGTCGTGGCTGCCGTCATCTACCTGGTGTCGGAACCTGTTATCTGCTCTCTTACACGAGAGGTAGCAGCCCCATCCCTATTGTTCTTTTTCTTCACAGCACTCATTGCAATATCAAATTTTATATTGCCCTCTTAATGTCTGGCTTCTACTCCGGGCTGTAAATTTTATGAAAACAAGGGACAAACTCTGCCTAAGTCATTGCCAAATCTCCAGTGCCAAACACTGTAGCTGGTACCACCGAATAGAGACACCCAATGTCTTTCAATGGAGAGAAGACCTGCCTGTTTAGTTAAGGAACTGTGGCCTCAGGGGTGTGGCATTTCCGGGAATCAGACCTGCCTAATTCTCAGGCAAGGGCGGCTGCTCTAGTATTTTCATTCCACAGTGCAACTTCAGAGGGAATCAGAGGGCAAGACAAAACTTTTCAGCCCATTAACTAAAAGATGCAAGAGATAGGGCGAAAACAGAAAAACGAGCAAATAAATAACCACCAAATTAGAAGAGGAAATGAAAGGGAAAGCAGAAAAAATAACGTAGTAACAGCTCTCAGATTAAAGTGGGAGGGGAAAAATAAGGATGTGAGGATCAGAACTCTTGAACTCTCAACTCTGATTTATTAGCTGTGTGACCTTCATTCACTAACTTTTTTATTAGACTGGGGATAGTGGGGACTGAACCCAGGACTTTTGGGATACCAAGCAAACGCTCTACCACTGGGCTGCACCTCCAGCCCCCAAATCACCTTTTATCTTCAGTGTTCTTATTGCGGAATCCCTCTTAGGATAGCCACAAGGAGAAAATGAAATGTCTGAAAGGTGCCTGCTACAATACCCTGGCACATAACAGCCACCATTTGTTGAACACTTTCTATTATTATACTCTTAACGACCCATCTGCCTCTCCAAAGAGGTAATAGCAGCAGCCTAAGGGCACAGAATTTTTCAGTAATGTGTAAAAATGCCTAAATGTCTGTGCTATTAACCCCTTGTTAGCCAATTGAAGCTGAGATGTAATTCGCTGGTGTAGCATTTGCCTGGCATACACAAGGCCCTGTATTCTATGCCTAGCACTGCAAAAAAGAAAGAGGGATTCTAATTGCTTTTTCCCCAAGACTGGCTCCACTTAGCTCTCGGGTCCTACTGGGAGCCCTCGTGCCAAAGGAGTGACCCCTAGAAGTTCAGAGTCCGTGACAGGCCTGCCGAGAATGACTGCGAATATATTTCTGAATCATTTGAATCTCCTTTGGCATAATAGTCACTCTTAAAGACACAGCATGAATCTTGTAGCCACACATACTCTTTCGAGAGCACCATCCCTGGTTGTGGGTCCCCATTTCATCCCTTTCTCAAACCAGCCTGCTTTGATCAAAAGCCCTGTTCTCTCCAATTTGTGGTACCTGCCTGGGGCTGGATTTAAAATGGAGATGTGTGGCCACATATTGGCAGACACTTTCACATGATGGTTGTTAACTGTAGAGCTTTTGCCTGGAGACTTTCAGAGGGTATGGTTACCATGACAACCACCAGAAAGATGGCAGGCCAGAGACATAATGGAAGTAAAGGAAGAGGGAGGCTGATTTCATGATGACAATCTGACGACACAGTATCCTCACTCACACATGGGATAGCTCTGTCCAAGTCATGACCAGGTGACTGTTACCAGAGAGTGAAAAAAAGAAGAAGGGGGTAGAATTTTACACCAAGAGACCAGAAAAGGAAGAAGCTAGTTACCAAGGCAACTGCAGAGAAAGGAATGAAAAAAAAGGGCTTCACCACAGCAGCAGAAAATTGCTTCTAGCCAAGCAACACAGGACTGTTGCTATAGAAACAAGGAGAACAGGGATCCTGTAGACCACGGGGAGAATTATCACTGAAATGCTGAGCAGGAAAGATGCCTAAATCAAAATGGAGCCTGTGGTTCAAAACAAATGAGGAGAAGTGAGAAAAACATAGTATCATTTCCATTCGCTGCATTTCTACCAATCCTACCGAAATTTTAAAAAATATCTTAGTCTATTTTATTCCTAATTCTGCTTGTATCTGGAATGATCTGCTAGACCCTAAATTACTATAAAAATAGCTCCTAAAAATGGTTTGTAACTTGAAATTCTAATCACAGATATTAAATTTAAGGGAAAATTAGGAAATTGAAATCTATGACCAGGAATTAATAAGTATTTTTAAAACAACAGCAACAACAAAAATCCTGTAATGGGAGTTTTGCAGGGCAGTAGTAAGTAGACAAAAGGAGGCAAAGGGGGTATCAAAAAAGCTATTTGTACTTATGCCCAGGTATTAGTCTTGATACTTCTCTCTCTTCTGTCAGGCCATATGGGAAGTAGCTCAATCTATTTTGAAAGTAGGCTCAACAGGAAAGATAAATATATACCTTTTTTTGTTTGTTTTTTAAGAAATCCTAGTTTGGAGGTTTTTGTTTTTGTGTTTTTGCCATGTGAAGATCAAACCCAAGGCCTCACAGGCAGTCAACAAGCACTCTACCATTGAATTAAATTTTTATCCCAGAATTTCCAATTTGTTTTTGTTTTTGTTTTTTGAGACAGGGTCTCACTTTGTGGTGCAGGCTGGCCTTGAACTCACAGAGATCCTCCTGCTTCAGCCTTCTAAGTGGTGGGATTACAGGTGTGCACCACCATGCCAGGCCTGAATTTCTAATTTTAAAGGCAAAAATACCAAAATAGATTCGGTCTGGAAGAGCATATCTCAAACGTGGAGATATCTGGGTTTGATGGCACATGCCTATAATCCTAGCACACAGGAGGCTGAGGCAGAAGGAGTTTGAAGCCAGCCTGAACTACATAGCAAGTCCCTCTCTCAAAAACAAAAACAAATAAGTAAATTGCAGAAATGAGGTACTAGAAATAAATTATTTTGGGGTAATAATTCCTTGCCTACTCTCTTAAATTCCGCCTAAATTTCGCCCCCTCGGTGTGTGTTGTACCCTAGGGATAGGTATATAGTCAGGCTAGGTCTCTCTATACTCACCTCCTCCCCACCCCTCACCCCTGTAGTGGTGATTGAACCCAGGGCCTCTGTACTGAGCTACACCCTCAGTCCTTCCTTTCTTCCTTTCTCTCCCTCTCTCTCTCTCTCTCTTTCTTTCTCTTTGGAGGCAGTGTCTCACTAAATTGCTTAACTGCCCTGGCTGGCTCAAACTTAACAATCCCCTTCCTCAATCTCCTAGAGTGCTGGCATTATAAGTGTGCACCACCATGCCTGTCCCCTACATCCCTTTTTTTCTCTCCAGTACCAACGATTGAATGCAGAGCCTTCAAGCTAAGCTACATCCCAAACATTTTTTTTTTCCCAGTAACGAGGATCAATCTTAGGATCTTACACTTGTGAGGCAGGCTCAGCCAGTGCCACTGATTCAAGTCCCCAGCCCATCCCTAGCCTTTTTAAAATTTGAGACAGGATCTCTGTAAGTCACTGTTACCCAAGTGGGCTTAAACTTGAGATTTTCCTGCCTCAGCCTCCCAGAGTGCTGAGATTATATGTGTGTATCACCATACTGGTTGTACCCAATCTTCTTTAGGAAACAGAGAGCAAGAAATATATGGAGTGGAATATGTCAGAACAGAGAAAAAAAGAGCACAGGAAGGTAGGAAGAAATTCTGGGTGATGAGCCTGGGGGTGTTCATTCTATTATTTCCTGTTCTCTGTATACTTTAAATATTTTATTTTTAGGGCAAGTGCAATAGTACACACTTGTAATCTCAGCTATTCAGGAGGCTGAGGTGAGAGGATTGCAAGCTTGAGGCCATGCTGGGCAACTTAGAGTGACCCTGTCTCAAAATAGAATTTGAGGCCAGGGATTTAGCTCAGTGGTTCGGCTGCCTGCCTCGCAAGCACAAGGGCCTGAGTTTGATCCCTGCTACCAAAAAAACAAAATAATAAAATTTAATTATTTTTTAAAGAGACGGGGGCTGGGGATTTAGCTCAGCAGTGCCACCACCTGTCTTGCAAGCGCAGGGTCCCGAGTTCGATCCCCAGTACAAAAAAAGAAAAAGAAAGGAAGAAGACAAAAGTGAAGCCATTCCAGTAGAACACCATTCAAATCAGATCACCCAGAAAGCTCACGTATTTAATTAAGAAGGAATTCTAGAGGCTGCTGTGGCTTCAGGATAGAAAGAACACACCACTGGAAATGTGACACATATATCTCCTAGGTGAGAAAAGAAAGTCGGGTCGAAAACACTAGCTTTGTTGGTAGAACCCATGATGCCCTTGCAGCCCAAGCCACATGTTAAATTAGTAGCCTCAATAAAAACATATTTCCTGTAGAGAGTATTTCATGATGAACTTGGCGCCTATATGTGACACCTAGGGCTTCGATAACAAACTACCATCAGCTAGGTGACTTAAAACAACAGAAACTTGCAGTTCTGGAGGCCAGATGTCTGAAAGCAAGGGCCATGCTCTCATTTCCCCTCTGGAGAGGAATTCTTGCTTGCCTCTTCCTGCTTTTGGTAGTTGCCAGCAATTCTTGATGTTCCTTGGTTTGTGGCTCTGTAACCCCAAGCTCTACCTCTCTTCATAAGGCCATTTTCTTTCTAGCGTGTGGCTGTGTCTGAATGCCTTGTTCTTGAGATTCTAGTCATGGAATTAGGGCTTGCCCTAAATCGGAATGTCCTTATTTTAACTTGAATACACTGGCAAATACCCTGCTAAATAAGTTTGCATTCACAAGATGTGGAAGATGTGAATATTGGCCATGGTGGTGGTGTACAATATCGTCCTTAATTCAGTGCCTGTGAGTAATCCCTGATGAACTGCTATGTCCAATAGTGTTTCCATTGGTAATTGGCCAATTCAAAGTTTGGACATCATAATTGGTCAAAATAGGCCAGGGGAAGCCGGGCATGGTGGCACACACCTGTA